TATGGGGTATTCCAGGATGGGTTATGGCTCCCACAGCGTGAACAAAAACAAGTCCAAGCCAGATACAAAGACTCGATTCTTAACTTCTAGCAATATTACATGTATTGCCATATGTGAGGTGATCACATCTCCGTTGAAGAAGAACAATGCGATATGGGTATGTCCTGAACCGGACAATGTGTGCACACGATTTTTCTTTGTGTACGAAGATGGCCAAGTCGGAGATTCATCCATTGACACACAGGACGGTAAATTCTTGAAACAAATTCAGGAAGCTTGTGGATATAAAGTGTGACTTTTTCGAAAAAATTTTGATTTGAAATTTAACCCTTACTCAGCCTGACATTTTATTACATATTTTTCTGGAAAATATCAAACAGTGAATTTTTTTTGTCAATTTTCGAAACAACCTGTGGCTTTCTGGAGGGGAAAATATAGCGGGAAAACTCAGAAAAGGGGCATAATTATATTGTTGCATAACAAACTGAAAATGAAATTTACTCAAACATTTTATAAGATTTTCTAATTTCAATTCGATTTAGCATGCATGGTACAAAGCAGAGGCATTTCTATAGGGACAGCTTTCTGTCTTCTAGCTGATATAAGCAACTGCTGTTAAGTCATTGTCCTAGTGAAGCATGTGCACATGGCATTTTTGGGGAAAATAGAAGCATTTGAAGGTGAAAATATACTTATTTTGCGCAGCGGAAACTTTTGGCTGTAAAATACAGGGGAAAAATCACTGAGTACTGTAAAATCATTATTATTCGTGGGGCACAAATTTTCGTGGTTTTCGTGGGTAGGTCAATCCACGAATTTAAGATCCGACGAACTTTTATCCCAACAAATACTTCTTACCCTGTCTCTGTTCTATCTATTACAAACATGCGTCGGCTCTTTTCCGGCCGATATTTCGTGAAATGAATGTAAACTTGTACAGACAGATAACCAGGTTAGTGACATATTAAATCCGTTTGCAATATTTAAAAAATTTGAAAGAAAACTTGATTATATGTCACAAATGTCGCATAAACATACTTGATCGTTGTAGTCTACTAGGACTTGATTGTGTTTACAAGAATACTTGACATAATCAAGTTAATATGGAAACCCAGGCAGTGCAATAATTAGCGCTAATAAAAATTGTCCGTTTGCTCTTATTAATTTAAAAAAAGTCTTTGATATTAATGTCTTAAGTACACAAAACTATAAAAAAATACGATCGCTAAAACAGATTTATTGTACATTCTTCTGTCATTTTTAAATGATCCAGTTTATATGAATTTTAATCAGTATTTGTGCGAATGCTATTCCCTAAATATCAAAGACACCACCGACTTTTACAAGATCCACATAAACTCGTGTTACTTACCGAGAATGATTTATATGCATGTAAATTTACACAGTCGCTGTGACGTTGCGTGTAGTTACTGTCAAATATGTTAAGTGTAAACTTTTAAACTCGCTGGTTTAAACGTGCCAGGTGTCGTATAAATTATGCGATGTTTACATCGGCGAATTACAGGGGCATTGTGTCCAATGGAGGTGCATATCATGTCACATAAATGTGTTAATTGTAGTCAATTATCGGCAGTAACTGTGCTGTATTAGAGTTATACCCAGAGGCAAGGATTAAATTAATTGACAACCGCTGTGTGACAAGTAAAGATATGTACATGTTGTAAGTAAAAATGTTCGGCGATTAAGATTACTTTGCATTAGGTTACTGAATTTTTTTTTTACAAGAAAACGAAAATCCACGAATTTAAGAACCCACGAAAATGCCCGTTTTGATAAAACCACGAACTTTCATGCCCACGAATATAAGTGAATTCGCAGTATTACAGGAATTTATTTAAAAAAGAAAATAAGATTTCAAAAGAAAAAAAAATGTATACTTTAAGTTTTCATGGAAGAAAGTAATTGTGAAAAGTGAAAATTGATTAGTAATATAGTCCATTTCTCAAAACTCTATTATTTTAGTCAAAAATACATTGTTTCTACAGGTATAACTACTGGTATAATTTTAGTTATCTACCAGAAATAATGTCAGCACTGTACAATGTCAAAGACAACAATGTACATGTATATATTTTGGCGCAATAATATTATGTAGAACTTTCATATATGATTACAAAAACAATGGTAAAATTTAGTATAAAAACAAAGAAACAAAAATGTAAAAACAGTATGCATGTATATATATCATAAGTGAAGAGTAACAGGGATTAATTGACCACTTTATTACTAGCCTGTTAAATGGGATGTTAAAATCATAAAGCCAAAGGGACAGTGTAAAGTGGACGATGTATGCCCATGTTTGGTAGACAGCTGAAGCGTTAAGTTAACAGAAAATAAGATGCATTTTCCAAAGTCTGGGGAAAATGGTCACTGACAGGGTTTTGTTTGTTTATTTATTTGTTGTTCTTTTTTTTAAAAAAAAAAAAGGGAATTTATAGGTACCAGTTACTAATTTTAAAGGGCCCCTGAGGTATTGTGGTAATATTGACACCTGCTTTTAGGTCGACATTCTATGCATAATATTTAGTGATTGCTTCGCATGCATTATGTGTAAAATTATGAACTTTGCAACACTTACGATGACATTATTTTTGTTTTGGTCTTTTGTTTGCATGTTACCTTTATTTTTGTATAATACTTATATTTTGTGTATACTTTTGTGCATGTTTTAAGAAGTTCAGTTTATTTTTTTAATACATTTGTAAGGTAAAATGACTTGTTAATAACCAGTACAAGCTCTAGTCTACGGAGCAAAAACCCAGTGGGATACAAAGACTTTGGATACAGCAAAAAGGTGCTGCTCTTGATAGGTCAAATTCATTGGGAAGTCTTAATTTTGAGAGAATTGATACTGTTGTTATAATAGTTATTTGCTCTGTAGAAGAAGTATTCGCTATTGAAGATAAACTAATTATAAACATTATCAAAACTCCAGCAAGATCATATTAATGAATGTCAGGCATGTTTAGCATGAGTATACTCAATTTTAAGGTTGGTTTAGTGGTCATTATAATATAAGTCCATTGGGAAAATTATTATAGTAGTCTGACAAATGGTACCTTACAAGAGCTGATTAAATAGAGGTAATTTTTATCCCACAACATATTTTGCTTGAATACATAGTATACCAACTTTAACACTTTAACTTGGCCTATTTTAACTTTTAAGTTTAACAAGACAGATTTAGTATCAATTTTTTATCTCATGTTTTATATAGAATTACACATAGACATCAATATAGTCGTAAACATCAATATTTCATGTCATTAATAAACTTAAATGCATTTCACGTTTTATCTTCATGAGTTTGTATTATACACCTTATTTCATGTTTTACATAGAATAACATGCATATATCTTTTATTATCACATAAATCACGGCGCAGGAGTGTAAATTAAAGCCATTAAATAAAAACAATATTACACTAGTGTAATAACATTTTGACCGACTTCATTTGCAATATATAAACATAGCAGTAAAGCGCGCTAATGTAAGTGTTACACTATAGGCACGTCATTGTAAAATTACTTTTTTAAACACACAGTATATAAACGATTTGAACCCCAACCGGATCTTGTGAGAAGAATTCAGCATCTAAACGTACAATCAGGCGTAATGACACATTAAACTATTAAAAATCGGCTTGATTTTAATATGTTACGGTATGTTAACATTTGAATCATATTAAGAAATAATTAATCTTTGCTTAAATATACATCCATAACCTTCTTCGTAAAATATTTGCACATAAAACGCTGTGCTCTTCGCCTCATGTTTCGTTTATGTCAACACACGCCGATTACACAACCAAATGTATGCCTAAAATTGTTTTACTTCACTATAACTTGTATCTGAATCTTTAATTTATTGTCTTAACCTCATGTTACCGGACAGACACTTGTGAAAATATCTTTGAATATTGATAAAACATAGTAAATAATAGAGGCGACATTTCTGATAACTGTACCCGTCTTGCTAAAACAATTTTAATGATCTGTACCCTACTTGTGTTTTCACTGAACCATTACTTGCGAGTCTCTTTTGATGATTTTTATTGTGTTTTTGTCGTATGTTCCAAATTTTATTGTGCAGAATATGAAGTTATTGTGTCACAAGAGAAGGGTACATGTTTTAGTTCTATGTAAGTAACTAAAACTGCATATGAATGGAGGAGCTTCGTCATGTTTTCACTGTCTACGAAAATACCGGCATGAAGTGGCTGTTTATACGAATCAGAAAGTCAATTATTTCTTGATAGGAATAATTAACTAACAAACCTCATTTTCACTTACCATTCATTTTTCTTTGGAAAGATATAAAGCTAAAATATTACATATGTCAGGTCTCGACACTAACTTTTTCAGCAGGTGGTATTACGGACCACTGGATCCAAAATTCAGGTGGTCCTTTCTGAATACAGGTGGTCCATCGTTTTTTTACTCATTTGTTTTTAAGGAAACTTCAGTTTTAGAAGAACTACAGTTAAAATTGGTGACAGAGACATATTTATTATTAGATTTATAATAACTGAAGAAAACATGTATTTTTTCTATTTCAATCTTAGATCAGATGGTAAGTCTTTGTAATCCTATTTAGTATTTATTATCTCATTGAAAAATACATGACAGTACTTCGGTTAAGTGACTTCTTCCGCAACTCAAGTTAGGTAATAGTGAAACCATTTGTGAATGACTTATTTCCTTACTGTTATTCAAATACTCATTGCTGTTTCCTGGTACATCTTATAAGAATAATAATTGCTTTTTATAGATTAACATTTTTAATTAAACTATTAAGTTATTATATTCTTGTCTTTGAAACAATGAAATATTAATGATAAACAGAAAAAGTCCTACATTATTATTGAGCTTATCTTCCTCACATATTTATTATACATGCTTGTTTGTTGAAATTTATTTATTTTTCACAAAGTATTTATAACCTTTTAAAGTACTTTAGATAAGAAAAAATTGGATCTCTGATCGTTTAAAAAAGTAGCCAAAGATTACTAAATATTTAATTTATTTTTCCTTTGCCTTTGTTTGCACCATTATTCATGTGTTTATCCGATATCCCATAGTGATACAATGTTATAAATTCAATGCAGTACTAGAGACATTTGAATGAATTTTATACTTTAATTATTAAAATAATTTTCTACACTGTTAGCGAGTTAATAAAAAGTTATGGATGTCTTAAGATCTTTTTGAACTAATGAGATGAATGAACATATACCTGTACATCGGAGAAATGGTTTTAAACAACAATTATAG